CTTCTGCCCTATGCCTCTTGCTTATATACTCCTCTCCAAGGCGGTTCAGTCTATCCATTTTTCCCGGATTCGAGTTTATCGGGAATCTTCCATTTATCTCGATCCTTCCTTTTTTCCTGCGGAAATCTTCTATTTATCTTCAAACTTGCCATTTATCTTCAAACTTGACATTTATCTTCCTTCTGCGAGTAAATCGTCAAAACGTTATCGTATCTTCGGGTTAGATTTCGTTAAGATCGCGAGATGGGCTTTTATCGCGTTTTAGGACTTTCCAGGCCGTTTTGCGATAAATCCGTATTTCGACCTTGTACGAGATCGTTTCCTGATCCGATGCCATTTTTAGTAAATTCTCCGAGTTAATCGTACAGTTTAGCTATGTTCGTTTCTCGGTTAATCGTTCCATTTTTTACGATTTACTCGATGTTTTTATTAAAATCGTGTTTTTTACGATTTTAACAAAAAATCTCGAATAAATCATATCGTTTAGGCAATGTTCGGTGTTTCGTTTAACCATTTCCGTTTTATACGATTTCCTTGAGTTCCTTTCGAGAAAACAAAGTTTTTCGGTTTTTATCGTAAAACTCGAATGATAGGTCGGATCGAGACGAAACAGGAGACATTTCGGCCGTGGTTCGGAACACGGCCGTGTCGAAGGACGTAAGCCTTGAATCGGGGATGCGGGAGATCCAGGCTCGGAATGGTCGGTTTGACGTACGACGAGCCGAACCGGACCAGTTCAGCCCGCCGTTTGGCGAGCTGCCCGGGAAGCTTCTAGTTTGCCCAACGGCGAACTAGTCGGGACGAGACTAGTTCGCGTTTTACGGCGGTTTCGGTTTTTTGCGGTTTTGTGCTTAACGCGGACGATCGTGTAATCGACGTTTGTTTTTTTTCCGAGATAACGATCTTCCGAGTTTTCCGCGAATTTACTTTGTTCGGAAATTTCTTTGGATTTATAAAATGATTCTTCGAGTTTTATAAAACGGTTTCTCGAGTTTTATAAAACGATTTCTCGAGTTTTATAAAACGATTTATCGAGTTTTATAAAACGATTTCTCGAGTTTTGTAAAACGATTTATCGAGTTTTATAAAACGATTCTTCGAGTTTTATAAAACGGTTTCTCGAGTTTTATAAAACGATTCTTCGAGTTTTATAAAACGATTTCTCAAGTTTTATAAAACGATTTCTCGAGTTTTATAAAACGGAAACTTCTTTTATAAAACGATTTCTCGAGTTTTATAAAATGATCTCTCGAGTTTTATAAAATGATCTCTCGAGTTTTATAAAACATATTTTTATTTTTGCGGAGACTTTTAGCCATTGATTCCGTCGTGACCGATTTTGACACCAACAGTTAGTTGAGCTTCTAGCGTAAGGTTCTTGCGAGTGGTTAGCCAGTTTTAGTTAAGTTAGGCGGAATTAATGGTTGGAAAGGTCCGTTAAGAGTGATCTTTCCATTCTCCAGGAAGCGGAATGTGTTTAAGATTAGGGATGCGCCTTGTGAAGGCTGCCTACGTACCCTTTTGAGGGGATCAAGCCTTTCGTACTTCGTTTTGGAGTTAAGGTTTGTATGATCTGTTTCCTAGCAAGACCTTTACGGTCTATTTATATGTCTTGTAGGAATTATCGAGCATATTGATGTCGATGGCATCTGGACCTTTGCCGGCCTTGGGACTAGCCTCGTAGGCCGTTTGGTCTGGCCGAGCGTGGCCGTTATAGTTTTCGAACTGGCCGTGTGCGGCTCTGAGTCCCTGCCGCTTTTGCGGCTTTATTAAAAATCAGTTTGCATTTTTAAGAGCGTGTTTTTATTCGTATGAATGTAGCAGGAAGAATATGAGTTGATATTGAGGGAGGTCCGCGAGTTGTCGTCTCGCATTCCTTTCCCTTAGTGTATCGCCTTATTCGTATGCTCGTTTTAGGATGTTTAGCAAATCGAGTGAGCATTTAGATATAGACGAAGAGACATGCCTTTAGGATCTCGACTCATGCCTTGAGACGTTAGCGACCAGTGTGCTGGGTTTAGGGCAAGACCTAGATTTACTTTCGGATTGAGGCTATGTGATGACTAGTCGGCTTTCGTTTTGCCTATTGCGATTTTAACCTGATTCTATACCGATTTAGAATCCGCGATAGGTTCTCGGCTTATATGATTCGTCTGGTTGGAACCGAGCATCTCACCGGGAACAATTTCTAAGTTTCCCGGAAGTGCTGACCAAAAGTTTGGATTTCTTTTATAGCGCTATTACCCTTGTGTCGGGTGTTCGAGAGCTATCTCTGCGACACAACTTAAGTTTGTTTAGGACTGTTGCGAGTTCGTTGTGATCAGCAACAAACTATTTTTAAGTGATAGATGTTTACGTAGTTTGGGCCTTCGCGAAGGATACGTATGTTATGAAGTTTTGCGTATTTTATATTCGCGAACGGGCTGTTAGATCTTCCAAGAAAATGACTTTATCGAGGAAGGTATTTGTGTCGAAAAACTAATCTCCGGGTGTCTGCGACGTCTCGCAGTGCCGAAAGTTGGTTTTTATATGCCGCGTTTCGTGTTCGGAACGTTTGCAGGCCCAAAGATGTTGCGCGGTGTTGCGAGGGTTTTGTCTTAACCCTGCTTTGCAGGAACACTTTGGTTCGTTTGCGGATATTAAAAATTCAAACTTACATTCCTGTTTGGGTGTTAGGTAGTTTTATGATTTGTGCTACAGCAATTAGGACCGAGAGGTGGCGTAAGTTGTTTCCCCGAAATGAAGCGTTTTTCGTTACGGTGCTTTGTGCAGTGTTGACCTTCCGAGATTCGTACGGCTTTAGGAGCTCTGGTACGAGTGTTTTCTTATACGTCGGATTTTGTAGGCAACTTGCTTCGAAAATAGATTGAATCGCGATAATACAGAACTTAGCCAAATTTCGACAAGTTTGCATTATCCGTTGAATGTATTGGCGTTTTGTTCAGCCGCACAGCCAAGGTTTTATTTGGTAGAGGATTAGACCATGATATTTTCGTACTATCGAAAAGGTCGAGTCGGTTTGTAAACTTGGCATTGAAGTGAAGCGTGATCGGACAATAGCCAAGTAGCGTTTGTCGAGCTTGATATGCCAAGTATGCTCGTGGTTATAGAAAACGTTTTTCCGTTGTAGGTTTGTTTATACGATGCAAGTTTCGTATAAACTTTCCTTTGTATGGAAGTTGTTTCTTTTTTACTCGAAGGAGACAGATCCTAAGAAGCTCGATGCAGAGCCCGTGCGGAGTCGTTTGCGGGGCGGTCTCATTCTCGGATGTAATCGGGAGGAATGAGAGATGCTTGTGAACCGAAGGGCTAAAGAGTGAGATCTTTCAGATCGTGTCGCGAGGAGGAAAAGTTTAGATTGGTCGCTCAGTGCCGGATCGTATAGCTTGGTTTTCGCTATAAGGAATGTACTTTTCGCAAAACCTGTTACGTTTATTTTCGAAAGTTACTTCGTTATGACATGATCCTGACTATACGAAGGATTTCTCGCGTAAGTAACGGGCTATGAATTTAGTAAAGCGACACGACGCATTGGGTTTAACAATTTTTCCGCAGATTTTTCGAGAAACCTTTCCGCTTAGTTTTTGATTCTTCTGTGATGGTTTTTTTTTCGGAGTCACTCGCGGAATTTAACCAAAATTTATTTCACCGAGATCTAGTCGCAAAATGTTTTAGCGGGTTTCTCGGACGGAATGAATCACATGACCAGAAATACGATCAGTCGGCGAGAAGGGAGGACGTGTTCTCTATTACTGCTTTATGTTCTCGATTTTATTCCGTGACTCACTTGGTTCGACGGAGAACGAGATCAATGCTTTGACGCCTAAAGATTTCTTGTATAATTTTTCGATTCTTATACGAAACTTGTTTTACCAAGTTGGAGAAGATCTTTATAACTTCGGCAAATTATCAAGTTTCACTCTGAAGTTTCGCAGAGATTTTCTTACCGCATGGTTGTGACGAGAGATGCTGTATAGTCCTCGAGATTATTTCCCAGATGGTTTGGATCAGTCTTTAGCGTTTAGACGGTTCTTAGATTTTCGTTTTCTTTTGGGATGAATTTGACGAGGCGTCGCATTGTCCGAATATTTTTCTGCTTGTTTTGGCGAGAGTTTGCTTTATAGAAAGCGTTTTCTCGATGCGAGGGAAAATATTCGACGAAAAGAAAAAAGATGAGTTTCCTTTGAAGGATTCGGATGACCGATAATCCGGGTTGGTTAAAGACTGTCATAGATTGGCGATGACTTGGAGTATGTTTTGTTTACGAAAATTTCTAGGAGCGAGTCGGTTTTAAGACAATGTCAGCGTCTCTAGATCCTTCTTTCTTTTAGGAAATGAGTACGTTCGAATGCGTGGCAATCGTTTCTCGGTTGTACGAGAGGTTGGATCGGTTTGCGAGTTATGCCTTAGTTTCATCGATGATTTGGGATCGTCTACTCTTCGTTCTTCGTCTTTTGACTTACCGGTCTTCGACGAATTACCAACAAGAGTATCGGAGCGGGGAGAAGACTTAACCATCGGAGCTCATGTTCTTGTTTCTTCGTACTGCTGGTTTTATTTGACCGACTAGGTGCGCTTTGTATATCGAAAAAATCAATCACGTGTTTATGATTGGATGTTTTCGACTTAGCGTGGCAGAGTTTCGTAAAACCGGATTGGGTTTAGAGTGTTCAGATTTCTCGTATTTCTTAGGCAACTTTGGTGTTAAGTCAACCGTTACCGTTTTATACGATTGATTCAAACTTATACGAAGAAACAAGTCTTTGCGGTTTTATCGTAAAATCCCGATGGAAATTCCGATTGAAACGAAACGAGAATCAGCGCGGTCAAGACTCGAGAGAGAAACTCGAGGATTGGTTCAGCTCGACGTAGGGCAAGTCAGGTGAACCCTTTTAGCTCGCCGTGTGGCGATCTGGATGGTAAGAACCCTTGGGGCAAAGCTTGACACTAATCTTTGTGCAATGATTAGGCCACAGTGAAGCAACCGGTGGTAAAAAAACATGATGAAGGCTCTGTATTTTCAATTCACTGCTGGTGTATTACCAATGTATACCGTTACATTCATCGGTTATTGGGCTTACGGGCACTCAACGTCGACTTATCTTTTAAACAGCGTCACTGGACCTCTCTGGGTTAAAGCTCTAGCTAACATCTCGGCCTTTCTCCAATCCGTTATCTCTTTACACGTAACTGAATCTTTCTTCCTTCACCGTTATATAGTCTTTGATCGTTTTGTTTATATGCAGAACAATCCTGAAATTTATGGAGCTTGAAACAATTACTAAATATAGATATATAAATAAATATATGTATTTATTAATAATTGAGAGCCAAGTAAAATGTATTATTAATCACTGATATTTTGGAAATTACAGGATAATTTTTTTTAATCTGGAGCTCTGTTTATATGAAACTTGTTCCTACTTTTGGTAGATTTTTGCAAGTCCGACGTATGAGTTCATGGATACGAAGTATGGGATCAAAGGAGGTCCATTAGTATTGAAGAATCTGTTGTTTAGAACAGTAGCAAGAGGTAGCTACATCGCAGTGAGCACTCTTCTCTCAGCGCTTTTGCCGTTTCTTGGAGATTTCATGAGCCTCACGAGAGCTATAAGCACTTTCCTCTCACCTTCATATTAGCAAACCACATGTATGTTGTAGCTATGAACGATAAGCTTAGTCCTGTTCAAAAGCTATGGCATTGGCTTAATGTTTGCTTCTTTGGATTAATGTCTCTGGCTGCTGCTATTGCTGCTGTTAGACTTATTGCTGTTGACTCCAAGAACTTCCACGTTTTTGCTGATGTCTGAATGTCTTACATTTGTTTATGTTGTAATTTTTTTATATAGCGAAAACGAAAAAATTGTATTCCACTTTTATCCCCTTCTTATTATTTGAGGAGAACTTTTGCAAATAAACCTTTAGTTCATGTGTTTATTACATGCATGCCATTTCCTACGTGGCAACTCCACAAGCCTTCTCACACCTTTTAACTAAAAGACCTTAGTTAACTAGAATAATTACACAACATGCCATTGATATAAATATACATATATGACATATATGATATAAAGACATGCATATACTCGGCATATAGTTAATTAAATTTCCTTATATATTTCCTTATATATGATACGATATATTTTGTTACATAAGTATGATATATTTCCTGATATAAGTATTTTGTCATCACCTACGATATATTTCAAAATATATTTCGTTACATGAAGTATAAATAAAAATAGGAAAAAATGCGACCTTATTTCATAATTAGGCATATATTTAAATTTTAAATATAATATTTTATATTTTATAAAATTGAACTTTATATTTTATATTTGGACAATATTCGATGTACAAAATACTATTGTCTTCAACTTCAAAATATATTTCGTTACATAAGTATAAATAAAAATAGGAAAAAATGCGACCTTATTTCATAATTAGGCATATATTTAAATTTTAAATATAATATTTTATATTTTATAAAATCGAACTTTATAAAATATTTCGACAATATTCGATGTACAAAATACTATTATCTTCAACTTCAATTAACATTAATGATCGAATCTGCATGTGTATTTCAGTTTAATGGTTTCTTTCCATTTGAATATCAATCAGCTATATATAATATTCTGAATTAATATTCTATTTCATAATTAGGCATATATTCTATTTCAGTCACATAATTTTAGCAACTAAATCTCGGAATGTTTTTATTAGGTAAACGGTTTAATGGTTTNTATAATATTTTATATTTTATAAAATCTAACTTTATAAAATATTTCGACAATATTCGATGTACAAAATACTATTATTTTCAACTTCAATTAACATTAATGACCGAATCTGCATGCGTATTTCAGTTTCCCTTATATGCACTAACCATTGATGTTATTGTACTCGAATATTGAATCTCAACTAAAATTAATGACCGAATCTGCATAGATATTTCTAATATTGAATGAATATATTTCAGTCACATAATTTTAGCAACTAAATCTCGGAATGTTTTTATTAGGTTAACGGCTTAATGGTTTCTTTCCATTTGAATGTCAATCAGCTATATATAATATTCTGAATTAAATGATATAGCCATAAATTGGAATTTCCTTGATAGATAAGCGCAAATCGCAAATTTAAATACTATTTAAACATATATAACGCGAGGTCTAAAGGTCCAAATTCTGCCATCAATGTTAAGATACTCACCAAGTAGACTACTTCGGCAATTAACTTATTTAATACCAAAGTTAAAAAAAATAAGTAAAGTACAATATTAATGATTCTTGCTCTTACCTTCTTCTTGCTGCGGGAAATCTATATTTGTTTGACAGATCTCATAGTGATTATCATGGCATGTTGCATTGGATAATATATTAGCATTTATAACTGATCACCTAAGTTAAGATTATATTAATTATGAAGTAATTTAAGAAAGTCAATATATGATACGTAGACAATTAACAGAAAACTATTAATACCATTCGATTATATATTCTAATTGCAGTAGATGATTCTATAATAAATGCCGTATGATTACAGAATCTGTTAACTTAAAGATATATCAGATTTATATAGGAAGTCAAACCGTAATTTAGGAAAAGTTCTTTAAATATCGACATCGATGATAAACCACGTAAATCTAATATTTATTGCATATCGTGACACTTTTGTTATATTTACCATCGGAGAAGCTAAAGAATTAACACATTCTCGAGAGCACATTGAGCATAAACATCTTTCTCGAGATATGGATAGTCGAGGACCTTTAGCAGAATTGAGTTTTCTCAAACCTTTGCTTCCTATACGTGTTAAGATTATCCGCAAGGGGAAGTCAGAAGTTGTCTCAACGTTTCAGAATTCACCACTAATATTAGGAGATGAAAAGGTAAGCTATATAATCTCTTGGTCGAGTGCGATTGTATATGTCCGTTTTGCTGACAATTTACTAACCCGTTTATACTGCTATTCAACAGGGAAACACCATTCAAGCAACATTTTCCAGAGATTTAACCGCTTTCACTGAAATGCCATTGGAGGAAGGTCACTGTTATGAAATTAAAAATTTCACTCTAACTCCTTCAACAGAGCGTCTTCGGTTGTCAAAGAACCCTCATCACATTAACCTCGATAGATCATCCTGCATTTTCAAGATCGATAATTTTCCCATGGCGAACTATTATTCTTTTCCAGACTTTGACGATCTCTATCGTGGCTTAGTCCATCCTAAATTTTCTATTGGTATTTGTTCTTTACTATCTAATATATTAGTCCTTTTATATTTTATAATGAAGATTATTATGTTAATATTTATTCTTTAGTTATATATTGGTAATACTTTGATAAAATATCACGCATATGTTTATGGAGTTATAGTAGGAGTAGGATTTCTTGAAGAATATATGACGGAACCTACTCAGTCAAACAATGGTTTCATGGACCATAAAATACGGAATTCAATTAACGAGAATGTTGTACTGTGTGTTTTACAATTCTGGCAAATTAATTGGGGAGCAGGTAATATATTTTTATAATTTTAAATAAATAGTCTATTTAATTTTATATCACATTAGAAAATAGCTAATAATTTTTTTTTGTTTAATAATGATAAGGAAAATTGAAGAATATCTCAAACATCGATGGCTTTTCAAAAATCATTTTTGAACCAGATGATGTTCCAGAACTCCATCCATTGAGGAAGAAGTATATCATTTCAATGAGTTTAAAATATTAAAAGAGTGTGTGTTGTTTCGTAAACTAACTAATTGTTATTTTTGTATGTAGGATTGCAAACCAAGAGTTTTGAAGACAATTTAAATTATTATATCATGTTTAATTTTCTATTTATTATTTTATTTTAATATACTTTTTTCTCATTATATCATGTTTTGTTTCTCTATGTTTTGTTATGATATTAATTATTTTAATTTATTTACTACTTTTTTTAGTAGACGATTTTTTAATTTTTTTTATCATCATGTATCTATAAGAAAAATAGATATATAAGACAAAAAGTGAAAACAAATAGCTATGAATCAATGCTTCGTTTCGCAGCTATACTAATATCTCATTATATGACTATATGATTTTTATTACTAATTCACATCCACTACCTATTTTTAGTTAAACAAATTAATATACCAAATTATTGGTCGATCAAAGTCAAAATAATCTCACCCCGCGCAGGGCGCGGGTCAACACCTAGTTGTTACTTGTACTTCCTCTTACAAATGAAACAAAAAGACTAATGAACTGGTTTTCGATGGTTTGACAATCGGTTCAATTAGCAAACCAACTTTGTTATTTTCAGCTTTAATTTTGGTAACTAGGATAAGACCACCTTACGCAAGGTGAATATATGTAATTAAAATATAAAATTTTGTATTGACGAATTTAAAATTACATATGATTGTTTTTATATGTATTTGAAATTTTAGAATTTTGAAATTTTTATATAATTATATATACGAAGAATCAGAAACAATTGTAATTTGAACTCTAGATCAAATCTTAGAATTTAATGTCCCAATTTCATATATCTTTTCACTTTTTAGTGTTCGAATGATGGAAAATAAATGGAGTGTCACTGGACTTGATTGGTATAGTATTAGCAAGTTCTCTAATTTTTTTTAAGAAGCATTTGGTAAAATATTTGCATTTTAAATATATAAAGTTTCAAACCTAATTTAATATAATTTATTTATTTGTCTAATAATATTAGAAAATTATATTTTTTACAAATTATATTTTTTCAATAATTTTATAAAAAATTAAGTTAAGTTTTAAATTATTTTTAAAACAATATTTTAAGTTTTTCAAATACAAATAAATAATTTAAAATTAATTATGGTCATGATTTACATAACCATAATGATTTAAAAAATTATTTTTTTAAAAAAAATAACAAATTAAAAATTAACTCAGTTTTATATCATGATTTAACAATTTAAAAATTAATTATCGTTATGAGAAGTTTACTTTCACATGTCAGTCCTTTTTATCTTCAATTTTTTTTCTTGTTGTGTTTTTTTATATTTTGGTTATTACTCGATATAAATATTTATTTTGAAGATATTCTCATTTCGTTTGTTTGTTTTGACCTGGAATTTAGAAAATACTTAAGATTTAAAATAATTAAAGAGATACATACTTAGGTTAAGGATCTGCACTATATGCACAATAAGTATTTTATATTTATTGTTTACTTTATATTTTCTGCATATTATAAAATAATAAAATAATAAATATATATATATATATATATATATATTAAATAACTACGAAATCAATTACTATTATGTAATAAATTGACGTATGCATATAAATTTAACTATCACTTTTGTTTATTCGCAATTAGGGTAAATAAATCAAAATTATCAATCTTATATATTGTATATGATATATATTTAAATTTAAATGATACAAACATAGTAATATAGCACACTTTTAATATGGATATTTATTAAATGAGGTTTCTACTCATATGATTTTATGATTATTTGCATATTTGTGTAACAAAACTTTACACCAACGAATTTTTTTTTTTAATGTGAGATGTTTAGTAGTTTCAATAATTTATAATCATTTTTAAAAAAAAATGAAATATTTTAAAATTAATATATTCCTTTTCAATATATGTTCAAGGCAAATATCAAAATATAAGTATGTATTTTCATATGATGTATAGTTTAATTAAAACAATATGAAATATATATAAACTAAAATTATTTCTTTAAAAAATTTATTCTAAAAGTTTATGTGGGACTTTTAACAATTTTAGTAATTTATACTCATTTCGCAAAAT